TGCTGAACCATCCTTTTGGACTGATGGGTCACTTCCCTCTTCTATCCCTTTCATCACCTTGAAGTATCTTTTTTTGAAATAAAATGTAGATTTAATAGATTCATAGATTATATTCCATATGTAAAGGTTCTGTACAAGCCAGGTAGGTAAGAAATAAAGCAACTAGGGACCAAGGTATCTGGAAGAAAACAAAACAAAACGAAACAACCCCCACAACAACAAAGAAAACCCACAACAAACAAAAAACACCCCAACATCAAACAAACAAAAAAACCCAAAATCAAACAAACAAAACAACCCAACAAACCAAAACCCTGGAACATGTTTATTTACTCATCTAAAAAAAAAAAAACACAACCCAAAACAAAACCAGCAAATATTTCATTCTCAAAATTAATTTTTAGTAAAATAATTAAATTATGGTGGATTCTGAAACATATTGTCACCACCCCTAGCCTCCTGATCTTTATCAAAAGGTGTAAATCTGTAAATAAAAATAAGCATTAACCCCAGATTCTTATCCAAACATTACCTAGTTTTCCAAAATTAGCTCTCTAGGGTTGCAGCAACATTTCTCTGAGTTTCTAGTGGGCTTTTGCAGGGCTTGAAAAGCCATTAGAAATTGCAATTAACTCTAGCATCACCTTCCTCTTCTCAGTCTGTTCCTCTTTAATTTTTTGTTCTTTTTAATAGACGCTTCTGACTTTTACTGTGAGAGTAAATTCATAACACTGTTTTCAAAATAAGTATTTCACCAACTATTGAGAGGAGCTGGTTAACCAAAGTATGAACCTTTCTTCTATTTATAGCTCCTAAAGTCAGGAGCCTGCATTGCTGACTGCAAGCCAGTCCTTTGCCTCTGATATTTCCTAGGTATGTCTACAGCCAGATTAAAAACATCTGCTGGACAAGGCAGATTTATCCACAGTTCAGCCAAAGCTCTTAATCAGATTCAGTGTCCTCTTGTCCTGGTTCCTTTAATTCTCTCCTTATTGACTGCCTATATCTTCACTTGAAACTTCGACAATTCATTTTCTCTTCCAAACCTGGAAATAGCATCTCATCCCTAGATTCAAAATCCTTAGATCCATTTCTGCAGCTAATACAAGAGCTGTCTGCACCTTCAAAGTTCTCAGGCCCATCGAAACTTTCTGTGTCTCCTCTATTTGTAGCTCCCATCAATGTCAGATGGCAGATCATTTTCTGTCCTGCGTCCTTATTTTATGGCAGTAGCTAGACAGTAATGTTCTCAGTCTTCTTGCATCACATGCCTGTGGTTTGAATCCTTCACTTCAAATTATTTTCTAGACCTGAAGTTCTAAAGCCTACCTAAAGATCTACTTCTACTGCTCTTTCAATTCCACAGTTGCAAGTGCAAGTTGACCATGTCCAAGTTTATAATTTTTTATTTGAGACTTTCTCACTATATTCACCTCTTCTATGGGTATCATCACCTAACTTTACTTCCTCAGAATAATTAGTTTTAGTTAAGCATCTTTTTGCATTAGGGCCATTGCTAATCATACCAAACTCTGTACGCAGAAAAGGAAAGCTTAACAGTAGGTAAGGGAAATGGATAAAATTCAGCAGTAAATCAAAAAGTGTGATTATTGAGTTCTCACAGTTTAAATGGAAGTCTTGTGACATTTGACATTCTTCCTCAAAATTTTCACCCTCAAAGGTAATTGATTTTGTAAGAACCTTTCTTCTTTAAATTTTGTTTCAGATAGCTTTTGACGAGGAACTCAGATAAATCTTGTTTAGACAGTGTATGACTCCCACAGCTCAAAGCCAACAATATCTAACCTTTATGTACATTAAAAATAGCTTGGAAATATGACCAGAGTGAAGTTGAAAGGCTTAGCAAGCAAAAAAGCAGATTAAAAAAAAGTCAGATTTATTTGAAAGTATTCATAGCTTTGCTGATAATTTTGGTTGAGTGACTCATACCCTGGGAAACCTTTGAGATGGTAATAGCCAAAGACAGCTACCTTCTGATTCAAGAAATCAGACACAACACATCTATTTCCTGAAAACCCTGAACAGTGTACACATATCTGCAGTCTTCAGTAGTAGAACGATATCATCTATAAACCCTGCAAAAAAGGGAGGCAGGCCTCACCCTGCAGCCCTACAGCCCTTCTCCTCGTCCCCAGGCTCCCCCAGTGCTGAGCAGATACTGGTATTTCTCAGTGGCCCCACTCCTGGCCAGAGTGGCCCCATCAGCACTCACCACCGGCCGGTGAACATCCCAAAATGCTCGCTCCTGGCTGTCCAGAATCTTCCTTTCTATCTTGTCTCTCTTCTTGTCCACTCTGTCAATGTTATAGGATATTTAAAAGAAACAGTAACTTTAAACATAAGCAGTGTTCCGTCACTTTTCCCTCCCCTTCTGCCTTCACTGAACATGCAAAACCAAACCTACTCATCTGCACAGGAACTTACTTTGCTTGCGCTTCAGCTTGCATAAAAATAAACTCCCATTTCCGAGCAAATGCTCGCTGTAGCCTGGCCAAACTCTCCTGAAAATACATTACAATTTTAGTGGGTTAGATTGTAAGTTATTTACTATTTGATAGCTTTCAGCTCATCTTTCCCTCCTTGCCTTGCCCCATCCTCCTAACATGTAATACAAGTCATAATATCTGTGCCAGTGTAAAAGCACCTTACTTATCTCATGCAAAGTCTTTGCCTGACACCAAATAGGATGGAATATTAGATCTATCTACTTTTGAATGCACCAACTATTTCAGTTTTGAAACTTTGATGACAAGGGTTTATATATTGGGTGCTGGCTGAGTAATTTTGTAGTAATACAAAGAAATGTTCTTGTTTTGAAAGGACCTAATACTGAAAGATAACAGCAGTACTTTTTATACTAAATTATCCACATGACAATTCTCATGAGTCATCTATGCAAATGGTTTGCATTGAACAATGTTGTCTGTATATCAATTTATTTAAAATAAAAAGCTATCGATATTTTGGTGGTATAGGAATCTTGCAAGATCTCCACAGCTATTCTCATTTTTTAAAAATGTATATTATAATTCTTCACTGCTGTACAGGAAAGGTATATATGCTACAGCCTACTAATAATAACAGGAAGAAGAATATTTGTAAAATCAGCAAAATTCTGTCCTCCAGTGATGTTGGAACAGCTTCATTAACGGCTCTGTAAAAGAGCTTTTCCACTCACCTTCAGTTTAGATGACAGCACTATGGAGTCTGTGAACTTGGAGAAAGCTGAGGTTTTACCCTCCTCCAAGAAGTCCCCTGTTACCTTCGTGCACTGATTTCACAGAGACTAAGGGGAAAATTGTCTGTAAACTTCCTAACAAAAAGTGTGGCTTTAACTGTAATTCTGTGCATTACAAATGCACTTCTGTGATATTCTTACTGAAAATAACAAACGCAAGAGTGGAGAGGAGACTTTTAAGAGATCTTGCCAATACCAGTAAAGGCTCTCATGGATTGCATACTGGAGGTGAATTTTCTAAGGCACGTAAATGTAAAATTATGCACATCCCACAGTGCAGTACACTGAAAAGCAAGCTTGTGCCAGAAGAAGCAATAAAGCGTGTCAGCATGGTGCTGTGGCAGGCCTGGCTGCCTGTCCTGCTGTCACAGGAGCACAGCTGGACAGCTTTCAGCACAGAGCCAGGCCGAGTAATGCATTTTATTTTTACACTTTCCTGAAAATTTCAGGACTTTCTGGGGGGGATAGGGGTGGAATTCAAGACATCTCTCTCCTTAGTGAGTGCCATCCTCATGAGCTAATCAAATTCCCTCTTTTTCCAGCTCTTCCTGGTCCAAATTATCTCACCTTGCCTGGGGCACGGCACAACTTCCAGGAAGTGAGCAGTGCCTCTGATTTGACCCTGTTTGCCTCTTGTTGAACTGATGGGCTCAAGGGCCAGCAGCACTTTTAAGAATGAAATTCATATTTCAACAGCTACCAAATGCTTTTGAAATGGTTGCCAAAGATCCTTTGTTCAAATCTTAGTGTGGAGTACAATTGCTGGTGTCTCTGGGATTTGGGAATGGTTACTGATCCCGGCATGGTGATCTGAGCAGAATGAGATTAGAGATGGACTAAAATCCTCACTTTTGCCCAGCTAGCCTTCACTAGTCTCTCAAACAGCATTTATGAGCCCTGTCAGACCCACATGCTGGCAAAAGTGAATTACTAATACATTTTCACAAATAATGCCTATAGTTCTCACATTTAACATTATTTCATATGCTTGTTAGGCCCAGGAGAGAAATTTGTTTTTCCTCAGGTACTTACAGCTTCGTAGTCTGCTAGCTCTAGCCTTGCTTTGTTTTGCATTGTCCGCTTGCAGAGGTAAACAGCTGGAACAGAATAAAACAACACAGAATTTGCTACTATCTCACAAACACAGCAGACCAGAAATCTAGAGGCTTTATCTCTATTTTATGGCTAGGGTCTTTTTTTTTGTTTTGATTTCTCCCTCTATTATAAAAAGCTTTAAATACAGGATCAATGCTACCAGTATTGTAACTAAAATGATGAGACATAAACAGAGATTCATTAAAAAATTATAAAATCTGCTTTATGCAACAGACATCATATACAAAATGCATGAGATACTTGGGGTGAGGTTGTTTAAGGGCTGGGGAACTAGAACATTAAAGAAAAAAATGGCAAAAATGTTTTTTGAACTATGTGTTTGTAACTCATCATGCAAAAGAGTTTTATCACTGCTATATTAGTCAAATAGGTTTTTAAGACCATGTATACACGGTTTTATTTATTTTTAGAATATAGTTAGAAGTCACAAAATTTCAACTTAAGATTTTTAGCTAAAAATCAATTTCAGATAAAATTCAAGTCTCATACAGTATAATTAATATTTAACCAATATTTAATACAGAAAATGTGACAAAAAAATGAAAAAAGTTTATCATGTATTAAATATGATGAGAAAAAATATTCTTTCATTTATTTTCTAGATCCAAAACCTTCAGCAGAGCTGTTCTGCCTCCACCTCATTCAGTCAGAGCTGAATTTAAACTAATAAAATAGAATACTGACAGCTAAATACTGAAAGGATGCAGGGCTGAAAATGCAGCTTATGGATACATGATCAGCAGAGTGGTTTGCATCACATTGCTTGATCCTGAATTCTTTATCCACTCCAGTACTCTTGAATGAAATAAATTTTCAATAGACCTTTTTTAGCAACAAATACTTCACATCAGCTCCGAGTATAGTACAGCTTCCCCCACCAGCAAGATGACTGCAGAACAGTTCCTTACTGTGCAGTATTTACCCACTTTGTTACTTCAGAGCACCTTCTCACATGTGAAACAGAGAAATCTTTTGATCAACGTAGGTAAGAAAACCTTAACTTATCTTAAGTCTCTAGTATCAGCACAAAGAGCTCATATTTATTGGTAGTGGTTAGAGATGTCCCTGCTCCCTGACAAAGGGTAATAACTTTACATAAGAACCTAAATCTTGCAAGTTATATTTTAATGCAGGTTTTGCCTATTTTTCTGTCATTTTCTGTGTGTTACCTAGTCTATTTTCTTTCATACTCTTTCACTTTCCACTCCCATAAAAAGCCATGGCCTCTTCCTCTATTCCCTGTATACCCATATCCCCTTTGGTTCCAAAGTAATTTGTGTGTCTACAAAATCTACAAATACAGATACAAATCCAGGTCACACACCACGTACAGGAGGCAGTTTCTATAGCTTCAGTTTTCATGCATTTTAACATTTTATAATTAATTTATAA